CATTTCATTTATTAATGTCTAGATTATTAATGGAAATTAAAAATCATGAGTCCTTTTTTTTACCTATTGACCATTTTCCTACTTTTAACGTTATAGTTGTAATTATTTGCTCTATTTCTGTTTGTCTTTGTGAGTGCGTTTGTTTAATTTCCTCTCGCCAGTAACCCTGATAAGAAGGAGTTTATTCTACATTTTTCTTCTAATTAATACTGTACCAAAGTAAAAAAAAAAAAACTGAAAGCATTAATAATGTATGAACTATTTTATTACAATAATAATTAAATTAATATTACTAACAGTTATAGTTTTTAAAAAAATTGTCTCCGTTTTATTATTATTTTCGTTATTTATAGACGAGAAATATTATATACTTAGATGATGTTAGTTGCATATTGTATACGCTATCTCAGAAAAAGTTATCTCAGCAATGAACCGCAGTCTATTTTCTGTATAAATTGTTGAAATTCTGCTGAATAAGAAGGTGTTAGCTCGGTTTTGTCCATTTACTCCCCTTAAGGTGTACTGCCTTCATGAAGTTGCTTCTTGGTGCTTTAAGAAGTGTATGCATGAATTTATTTAACTGTTTATCGTTGTGATTTCTTGTATGTTAATTAAAACTTTACAATAAAGTTAACGCTGTGAAGGGAAGACAACGGGAGCCGGCTGAGAATTCATTTATCACTCTCACAAAGCTCTGTACATAAAATAAATAAATAAAAATATATACGACCAAAGTAAACAACAAACAGAAAAAGAGAGAATATATTTTGTTTTTAAACGTGTGAAATATCTAAACAAACTCAATTCTTGGTAGAAAGACTTCGGAGGAAGTGTTCGGTCGTTTAAAAAAGCTGCAGGATTCACTCGCATAAATGTCAAACCTAGGCAGTGAATTGTATAATAAATAAGGAAATAAATTTAGACATCGCAGAATATGCTGTGAAAAAATAAGACCAGCCAGAAAGAAACAGTCACAAATAGTCTTAAAAATATGTTGACGTTCATATAAAAAAATCATTTTTATTAAACAATCAGGGGTATAATGAATGTAATGAGTAATGTGAACGCTGATTTTTCTCTTTCTTTTAGAATATTCAATATTTGCCAAAAATAAAGGGTTGAGATGAGTTGGCACTTCGGGGGACCGAACGTCACACGACAGGACAATGATATAACATCCAAGTCCGGATAGTGACACTGATTTTTCATCTCAACTTCCTTCGCATAACTAAAGACCTAGTATAAAAAGGTAATAATTTAGATAATTAACAAATAAAATTGACTACAAATAATTCGTACAATATTGGCCGAGGAATTCGATTAATCTGGGGTAGTGTGAATGTTAACCAGACTATCATGTTTTTATCTTGGCTCTGTATTTGTGTTTGTTATTTTATCCACAATTGACGAGGTTCTGATGTTCAGAGAGGTTTGCTATAGTATAAAAAACCTTATCTCATAAAATGACATGACTTGGCTGGAGAAACAGAAAAAGAAATTAGTAGGTTTAAAACGCGAGAAAGATAAGGAAAGAAATGCAAAGCTAAGAAAGAAAGGGCTGTCGATGACCAATGAAGTTCGCCGGCCCTAAAACTACAAAAAAGTTAAATCAGAAGGTGCTTTCACAAGAAAAAAATGTTGTATTTTGATCCAGTCTATAATATTACTAACGTGTGTAGTAGCTTTAGAGTTGCGAAATTAAGGAAAAGGACAACGGTACAAATCATAAATATTTTTTCAACACCGACTTGCCTCATGCGGCTCTTTAGTAATTTATTGCCCAAAAGTGTAAATAAATAAAGAAGGAGAAAAGATAGGAAAGAACAATAACCCGGGCGAGGGGGGCATGAGTGCGTGATGTATGGAGGAGCCTGTTGCATCACTGACGAGGGTTAACAGAGTATGAAGTGTATTACAATATAGAAAGGTGTTGTGTAATGGATAATTTGGCCCGGTTACACAAGTACACTACTCTTGATGGTTATCCACCGTGTCAAACTTATACACATTAGAGAAATCTAAACTCTTAAAAAAAGAAAAAAAATTGCGTCATACGGTTCAACTGATAGATTCACAGTTAAGACGATTGCTCATCCACTCCTACCTTTTCCACTGGGCGACAACGAGTCAATGGTCATAAAACTTGCCATAAAATTCTTTCTTAAAAATCATACATTCTACCATGACAAAATCGGTTATGACACGTTTTCTTACACATCCTCTAACATATCATATCTCTCGCGTACCTGAAAGGGAAAGCCAGCGAAAATCTGCTGATCAGGATGATAAGAGTATGCAACAAAATATTAGTTTTCAAGTCCTTACCAGCTGTTTAACATTAATTTTCACAGGTTTTTCTATTCTGGTCATGTTTGGTATGTCTATCCTCTTGGACTGTAATGCGCTTTTTCGGCTTATCGCCTGAATCATTGGTGGGATGTTAAAATAACAAGAACAGCAAAGACAAACCACTGAGGATGGCATGAAGTGATAAATCTATTACATGTTCTGAGAACAAAATCGATATTTCGAAGCCTGGTGGATTGACATGAAATTAACTAAGTTTTATACAACCTTAGCGTATTATAGTGGTATAAAACTTAGTTTATCTTCATGTTAATCCACCAGGCTTTGAAATATCGATTTTTTTCTCAGAACATGTAATAGATAGCTCCATTTGGAGTGCCTGAAATTTGAGGGGGCATGTACGACCGCTCCACAGCCAGTGGCTCCGAACGTCATCTAGTGAATTACCTTTTCAAAATGGATGACCATTTCTTGTGCTACGCTGCTGTTTGTTTATATATTAAAAGCAAAAAACCGAAAAGGAAATGGTATAAGAAGTGGCTCCTGAACAGAAGCCGTTACCCAGATCAATTTGATGAAAGATCGCTTGAACCCGCTGATTGGAGGAACTATTTAAGGATGGATGAAACGTCTTATTTATTCATTATATTTAGTGTTCTATTAACTAAATTACTTCTTTCAATTAATTAAGCTTTTTGCAAGGTTTTGGTTGAAATGAAAAAGCAAGTGCCACGAGCGGGATTTGAATCCATAACCTTCGGATAAATACGCCGCTGCTCTACCACTTGAGCTATCGTGACTTATATACTCTCGGATACCAAAAAATGGCAAAAAGAGGGAAAACTGGAAAGGTTGTACGTTAAGATGGGAGTTGGTGCCCGAGTGGATCGAACTATCGAAGTAACGATAGCTCAAGTGGTATTTAGCCGAATGCCGTGGATTCGAATCCCCTTGTGACACTATTTTTTCATTTCAACCAAAACTGTACAAAAAAAAAATTAACGTGTTATTTATATTTACTCCAGCTTGTTACCCCCTTGATTAGAAAACAAAAGACAGTCACGAGAGAAATCATCACTCTACAAGAAAGGTTGGCAGCCACATTACGATTTCTCGCTACAGGGATGAACTACGAAAAACTTAAGTCCTCTACTACGATTTCTGCTCAGCGCTTAGGGGTTATCAACACCGCATCTCTCGTTGCATTTGTATCCTTTGTTTTGAAAAGGTCGACCAACCGGTGGTTGAGGACCGAATTTCTTTTATTTCTATAGTTACCATAAACATGGTAAACTTTCATACAATTCAATCACCTCAACAATAAAATCTCGATTGGATGTCATTACCAATAAAGAATAAACGTTTTTGACTTTTTGAGAATTTACGCCGGAGATGTTTGCTCAGTGACAGAAAGACGGAGTGTGCCCTTTTACTTTTGTTTTCCCATTCACGACCAAGCCAGCGCTCCAATATTCCACAGTTCACGCCAGGTTTTCCCATTCACGAACGCGCCATGCCGTCGTCGCGCCGTAGATGTTTGGAGCGGCGCGATGGCGTTTGAATAGGTCGAATATTCGGCACAGCCGGGCAAGCCAGTTCAGTTTTGCCATTGACGTGGTTTTTGGAACGGCGTCGCTCCGTTTGGGCGGCTAGGGGCGATCGTGAATGGCCACCTTAAGAGATTTAGAAGAGAAAAAAATTACAAACGTTCCCGAATTATTGACCGATCTGAGTTTTGAATAAATTTGTATACTTCAGTCCTGTCTAATTGTCATTTGTCGCCTAATGTCTAACAGAAAAATACAGCGAAGAGCGGTGAACCAGACTATCAAATTCCAGACAAAATGTACATTAGTTTTTCATCTCTTGGAACTTTTACTTGACGTGACTTTTACGCTTATGCGAGAAACTATAGTTAATTTTATCTCATCGCCTCTCGACGGTACTTCCTACCACAAGCCTAAAGATTCCTGCAGTAACTATTAAATTATTCAGTAAAATGTTAGACGTAATATTCGGAGTTTTATACTGCGCCCTTTGAGAGGTATTGAATCCCCGTACCTATAATAGCCTGGACTGGAAATTAAAATTCTTTACTCGACGAAAGGTCGATAAATACATCATCTTTTTGATAACAATCCAAACTATTTCCTAATTTTGACTTTAAAATACGTAAAGCCGATATGTCACATTTGGAAGTACTTTATTTTAGAAAGGATCTCTTTTACTCCACAAAGATTCACAAACGCTCAAATTCAAATGATTTTGTGCATTTTAATTATGGCAAAAGGACATTTTCACATTTCAGAGGCTAACAGAGTAATGAAGTAAAAGAAGAGAAATTAAAAAGAATTTGACCACCCGAGCTCAAAGCATACATTTTTCTAGAAGTTCTTAGTAATTTGACTATTTTTTTATTTGTTTATCCTTACAATGAAAGTCCTAGGGTATCAGTTGATATTGATGTATTATACAAAAAATGAATTACGACAGTTTATGTAAGTGTAAAAAGCATATACGAGGGGGGGTTCGGAATAATCTAGAAAGGAAGGAAGGGGTGACAGATAGCGGACAGAGCATGTACTGGAACGAGAAGTGGATTTTTTTTTTTTTCAATGGAGTTGAACAAAAATCACAGAAATCTGCGTTGGACGGGATTGATAAAAAAATAAATACAAATAAAAAAGGCTTACCTGGATGGTGGTATGTGGATGTCTGAGCTTTGCTGACCGAGAGGAGATGACTGAGATCAGTGGTGTATAGCGAATCGTATAGCGATCCACCCGGTTCGACACAGTTCCTTTCCTTCTCCACTTCTGAAACACCCAAAATCAGATTTTTCCTCTCAAAAATTGGACGGCCGAGTTGAAAGCAACTGTTTAAATCCAGGATATCCTGTAGGGCAGACGGTCGGCATTCACGGTTCTCCATTCTTTAGGATATACTCTTTTCCGGGAGGCAAACATCCCTTTCCGGGAACGGACTACCGCCGGCGGCAGTACGCTCTATGCACTCACTCGATCACCAACACCCGACGCGACGCCCTTTCTAAGATCTGGACCCGAATTCTCAGGATTATTTACGAAATATCAACCGGTGAGGATGTACCGTCACTCGCTCACTCGCCCCTCGTACCTGCGATTCCGTCCTCGTACGCGAGGAGGATTAGAAATTATCTAGGACGAAAATCACCTTTGCCATCGTACAGAAAGAAATCTGTCATCGTTCCCGCCGAGAAAGATACTGTCTGTGTGTATGTCTGTGTAGTGTGATTGGTAGAGGAGGACTGCACTGGGAACAGCTTCTCCCCCTCCAACCACCGTATCAAACCACCAATATCAACCCAAAACCTGCCGCTACGTAAACAGGTACATCACCATGGCATATCAAATTAAATATGATGCATACGTCTAATGACACACATTTAACCGATACAGTTCCGATAAATTGGAATTTGGGACAGGCCGGGCAGATTTAACACTTAAAAACCATTAAAACAAAATTAAAACCACACCAATTGATATCCCAATTTCAGCTGTAATTAAGAAAAACCTATTGGAAAATTAATTACTGGCATAATTGGACTTTTATATCGTGGTGCTATTGAAAAAAATTGAAATTAAAATAAGAAAAAAGGAAGCCTTTTCATAATCTTCCAGTATATTTCTAAAGGATATTTCACGCTTCGTTCTTTTCTAGCCCGACATCCCAATTGCACAATGTAACAAAAGTACTATATTGCGCATCAAAAATGTACTCAAAAGGATAAGCCAGGATCAAGGAAAATAAGGCACCTTGTCGTACAGGATTAATACATTCCGCATACGGCTCCCTTTAACCTCAACGAAATAATACGTTTACCCAACTAATTTTCATTTTTTACTATCCTGCATATTTCAAACTTTGATTATGTGCGGCCTTGCGCAACAATCGGCAATTCGCAACGCTTTGAATTTTTTTTTTTATTTTTCCGGGAGAGAATGAAAACAACAGATAGAGACAAAATGACAAAAACACAATAGAGTGAAAATGTATAAACGAAATTAATCAACATTTTCTGTCATAAATCTCTTAAATTTTATCAATTAATCTTCGAATTAAAACTAAACATAACAATTTTGTTTATAATTATGTTCATAATAAGGTAAACAGTTTTGTTTCATCACGGGTCCAAACTGGCGGGCGCGTGCGCAGTTCTGTTTTGGCATTCCATCGCCCTCAAACTATCAGTCGACCGTTCCCACACGCTTTCAAGACAAGTTTGTGACTGATTTTTGATAGTCACAACAGTCCGAGGATTTGACGTGAGACTGGCAGAGACGCGCCGATATAGTCAAATCGAAAAGTTCTTACTTAACTAGAGATCGGATTTAAATGTGAAATAAAATCTGTACTCTCGCTCTTTATATATTTTGCCAACCTACTTGAATTGTACGTCATGGGTCTGAGATTTTAAAAGATTAAAAGAATGGACCTACTGTCCAAGAACCTACCGTACGCAAATACATTACATTACACTTACATTACTGTAAACAGCCTGAGATGTTATTCTGATTCAAAAAGGATATATGATACCATAACACAAATTGAAAATGTCCGTCAAAGAAGGCTCGATGAAATACAATTGATTTTAAGGTTTTTGGGGAAGGAATTTCAGCATTAGTCCGAGATTGGAAAAAAGTTAAATCCCATAAAGCAATTTATTTATTTATTTTTTAACAATAGAAAACTGCTTTCGTTCCAGTCTAGGATCTACAGTTTACTGCACATAAAGAGTGGAGGGAATACCATTGATTAAAATTTTAAAACATATTTACTTCGGTTGAAATAAAGTTCGGTAAATTTTTGTTTAAAATCTTTCCGACAAAGACTTTTAGGGCTGGAAAATCGAATTGGTTTAAACTACGCTTAGCACTGAATCGATATCAACTTAAAAGTTGTATTTTTCAATTTATTTTGGACCGAGTTACAATGATGAAGCTATCCAATTTTTTTCTCAACGGGAAGATTCAGATCTATCGGGAGAGAATAGGGTTGGGATACAACAAGTGGAACGATCACAAACAAAAAGTCAATTGGACACGCGATCCGGGTGAGCGGAGAGCAGAAACACGAAAATCCCTCGGTTCGCATCCGATTGCGGATAGGCCGGATAATTTCTGCACCCGCACGCATTTCCAGATTAGGTGGATGATAAAGCCGCATTTCTTCCATATCGGCCCGCGCACAAAAAAGGAAAAATCCTGAATCCAGGGCCAGTTCTGGAAGCGAGTGGTCCTTTTTTTTCCAATGATCAACGGAAGTCATAATTATATGGAGAGGACGGACATCATTGTAAAATAGCACAAAAGGTTTGCGAGAACAGAGTGGGAGCGGTCGAGCGTGAGGTGGGTGAGCCAATCACCATCACTCAATGTCCTGGTGATGTACGAATAGAGTTAAATAAACACGTAAAACGATGGCGAAAAAAAATCCAGCTCGATGACTTATCGGATCTTAGTTGGAAATATCACTGTTTATTTATTGTTGACACGTTTCCTCGGCCTTGGGAAATATCCCATCATCCTATCACTTAACACTATAATTAAAAATATCAATTCATTCTCCTTTTAATTAACCGACCTGTAAATAGTGGGAAAATGGTTTAACAAAAAGGAATATAAATGACTTCGAATAGCTTGTTACCCTTCTACATAATGAAGTACACGCTGGTAATATAATTATGGCTATTTAATAGTGAGTAGGTCAGAAAAATTGACCACCTAAAAGATTTCTTATTTCTTCTCATTTTGGATAGTTTAAGAAAATCATTATTAAAGAGATATGCGTCGTACTCGCAAACTTCTCGAAACGGAACTTGAGATCTCCGCTCCTGTTGTATGACACAAATTAATCTTTTGTACCGTCCAATCGTCTCGAACCACCATAAATCGATGATCAGCGATCACGCCAAACTCAAAGAATTGATTTAAAATTCAAAATTTCTCACGGATCGTCCTATTTCAATAACAGAACTATAAATGGCAGACCGGGGTCAGACCTAGGGGTCTTTTGGGGTTATAAATCGGCCGTACCTCTCCACACATCCTTAAATAAATATATTTATCCTATTACTTACATAGGTCGATTGAATACGCGATAGTCCATCCTATACGAAATGGACAATGTACTCACGCTATAAATTCACGCCAATAAATACCACTCTCAATTTATTGAACTGGGAAACACAAAACGATATACTGCATACAATACAACAGCGATGTTTCCTCAAAAATCGAAACAAGCCACAACAAATAAGCAAATACTCAGTACAAAATCGGATGGCATTCCCATTCGCTCTCTATACAGTGCCAATGAACTTCGATAGCTAGGACACATCGCGCAACCTTTAATAGTAGTGGTTTATTTGTTATACTTTTAGTATTCAGTATTAGAAGTATCGATCACTTTTTTCATTCAGGAACACTCTCGAACAAGGTAGGTCTTGAAGAATAAAGCAAATTCCGTTGTTAATGCTAAGCTTTCTACCTATTTTAAGGACATCATCAGGGCCTACTGATGGGCATATATAATTTTTTACTGGCGATCTCAAATTTTTTTGGAGACCGACTCACTCCTAACATAGTCAAGGATTACAATTAATTAAGGTTTTTAGTTGAGATGAAAAAAAGTTAATGGCACGAGAGGGATTCGAACCCACGACCTTCGGCTAGATACGCCGCTGCTCTACCACCTGAGCTATCGTGACCTCGATCCACTCGGACATCAACTCCCCATCTCAACCCCACCTTATGAGTTTTCCCTCCTTTTGCCATTTTTAGCGGACCACGAAATTAGGGAATTAAATAGTCAAGGATGATAATTCCAGTAAACTGTCAAATGAATTTAGTTGGGATGGTTAAGCTTAAAAGGAGTCGGCCTCTTTATGACCTTACAGCGACCAATATTGGTCTATTATGCAATATCCATTACTAACTCTTCGATAAACCTCTTATCACGTCGGATTTGAGTAAGTTGGTAGGCCGCAAAAGGGTTCAGGGCTGATAGATGCCTCATCGAACGAACGTTCCTGCCTCCTCGTTGCCCGTTTGGTATGCCATGGTATGCCACCCAAGTTTAAATTTCGTTATTTTCCCTAGGTATGACAAAACCTTGATGCTGCAAAGTGCTCTGGACTTTACTTCCGATGAGGTGGTTGTCAAAAAATTCACGTTAAATAATACAGTAAACACGAAGTGTATAAACTGTACAGAAAAGCACTCCTGCTTCATCCAAATATCGGGGAATCCAGAGAAAAGCTGCCGTGCTCAAGCACAATCCTCGCATCCCTAATCGTACACGCTATATAGAGCCAAGAAATAACACCCTTCAAACAGGGCGTGCTCATTGGCTGTCGTTATTGCTGATCAATTATTGACATCTTTCAGTTAAAAATTCAACGGTGAATTGTTGAAATCTGGTCATGTTTGACGTTGAAAATCCGGCGACGTTCCGGATCTGCGCCGATTTAGGACGCGATTGTGTGCTCAGACGTTCTGTTTCGCCCATTCGCTTTGGGTCGGATTTTATGTGATGGAGTTAAAATGAGGAATACTGGGAGTTCGAGATGGTACAAACTGAAATACGTTCTCGAACCTGTTATCATAAATTATGACTGTTGTCAAATCTAAGTTTAGGCTGGTAGAAGATAAGCCGAACGCCTTACTCATTATTTTTTTAGGTTAGATTAATTATTCAAAAGGAAACCGACTCAATTACATTATAAATCAATATTACCCATTTACTTCAATTGTATTCATTAAAGCTAATTATTATCGCCAAAGTAAACTTGTGAACTGTTTAGTCGTCGTTACTTAATCTGGATGAAAAGTAAAATCTCTTCAACTGGAAAGCTGACAGATAACTTTTTGAATACGAGTCAAAAGGTTTAATAGAGGGAGGAATAAACTCATATCCTCTTTGTATGAACTCTTTTGTATGACCGTCGGCTAAAACTTCCGCTCGGCCACCTGTTGTTTTATGTTGAATGAGTCACGTCAATGTGGACGCGCCTTCGTGAAATAACAGGGAATGTATCTATAACCGCTTTGTGCGACTGCACTCGCTTCGGTAATTAATTCATTGAGATTATTGTGAACCGTGTAGCAATCTTCTTCGTCCGAAGTTGTGAAAATTATAATTTCTTCTTGTCAAAATAAAGAGGCTGTGTGTTTTTTTTTTAAAGAAACATTTGGCCTGTTCTTGAGAAAATGCAGTGAAAATCGCCAATTTCGACTAGCAAAACGTCCTGTCCTTAAGTTACATCTAATATATAATTCAAAGATTATATTAATAGTAGGATAAAAAATAAGTAAATAAATAAAAAGCAAGGGGTTTCTTGTCCTTTAATATATATTGTACGCCCTTTTCTGTACTTACAATACACCGGTAAATTTATCTACGTAGTTTTTGAGTTAACATTCTAATCCTTTAGTTTTGAGAACAGTGAATGCGTTTTAATACATCTGTCTGGGACCCATAGGTAACATTTAATTAAATTGCAATCAAACCTTTTTGCAGTATTTCCAGATGTTCCCATAGGATGTCGCCCATGTAAGGAGGCGCTCTGGACAGGAAGGCTTCTTTCCCCATCGCGCAAATGTCCTTTCCTCTCATGCAAAACTGTTGCATCTTTACGCCTTCCAGCGAGAATTCGCGAATCGCCCACGCAAGCCAATGGGCGACCTGTGTCTCGTTCCACTGCCTCGGATCTACAACATTCAATACAATCTTTAACAACCATATCGTAAGCTGAAAAAAATTATTATGACGTGTGTGTGTGTGTGTGTGTGTGTGTGTGTGTGTGTGTGTGTGTGAGAGAGAGAGAGAGAGAGAGAGAGAGAGAAACAGTGTGCGAAGGAGAGATAGAGAGAGTGAGATAGAAAAGGAGAGAGAGGAAAGAGTGTGTGAAAGAAATAGAGAGAGAAAGGGAGAGAGAGGAGAGAAAGAGTGTGTAAAAGAAATATATAGAGAGAGAATGAGAGAGAAAGAGAGGGTGTGTGAGAGAGAGGAGAGAAAGAGTGTGTAAAAGAAATAGAAAGAGAGATAGAAAATAAGAGAGAGGAGAGAAAGAGGTTGAAAGAGAGAGAGAGAGAGAGAGAGAGAGAGAGAGAGAGAGAAAATGAGAGAGAGGAGAGAGGGTGCGAGTGAGGAAGAAGAAGTGGATTGAATTGAAACGCTTTATTTCGCAGATTTAGGTCATATTGACTTTTCTTACAATCAACGAGTTCGGTTTTACAAAAATAAAAAAATACACAATAAACAAACAAGATGATTATGGATCATAAATATTTTTAGCTTTCATCGGTTTTACTAAATTTAACATGTACTGTGTAATATAAAATATAACTGACCTAACTTAATTGAGTTATAAGCAATACAAGATTTCAACTTACAATAACTACAATTAAAAAAATTGTGAATAAAAAAGTGAAAAATATATAATGTATAATAACCATTTAACTAGTGAATTAATGGACGTATGTATGAAAAAAAAATTTAAATTAAAAACAAAAATAACACATGAGAAACTATGATTTTTGTAAATTTAATGTAAAATTTATGTGCAGATTTATAGGAACAGGGTATGATTATACATATTTTGAAATTAGTGTCTTTTTTAATTTATTTTTTGATAATTTTTCGTTTTTTATATTTTTTATTTATGATGGTATGTTATTCATGATCCTAATGCTTTTTAGTAAAAAGGGTTTGCTAAGTGAATTAAGTGCTAAGGGAATTAACAACTGATTTGAATGTCGAGTATTAATAATATCTACGTTATAAATACGTTTATAATTTTAATATAAATATTGTGTTTTATAATTAAATAGTTTGTAAATGAAGGTACCAATTTCTAAAGTTTGTACATCTTTCAATTTAAGGATGCCTAATGGTTATATTAGTCATAAATTTTATCATCATATTTTAAATTTAGCATGAATCTTAAACACATATTAATACACCTTTCAAGTTTTTTGCTAATTCATAATTCAAGTCACTCATAATTACAATGCTGTAAAGTACAAAAGGGAAATTAATGATAGATAAATCCCTTTTTTATTTGAACTGATTTATAATACAGCAACCTGTTGCATCTGTATACTAAAGTATATTTTTCTTAATAATGTAATTTACTTGCGTAATCCATGACAAGTTAGATTTCACTCATACACCTAGGCAAAGAGCACTTGTCTCATAAGGCAGTGTATCGTTTNTCTTTCAAAATCGATAAAAAGCGAAATTACTCTGAAATGGTTGAGAATCGGACCATGGACAATATGAACTTTTTTGTTCATTTTAGGGTGAAGAATCTGCTGGAGAAGTTTGTAGCACGAGTAGCAATTCACCCTGTATATACATTCATATCATCAAAACAGAGTCCATTTTTGCAGTGTTTTAGTGCATTCGATATTTAATTAATGTATAGTGCAAAGAGTATTGCTGATAGTGGTGACCCTTGTGGTATTCCTCTATTGATGGATTTCCCATCAGAATATTGACCATTGGATGTTTTTACTCGTTGTAGTCTACTATCAATGTAGGATTTGATCCAATTTACAATTTGGTTTGAAAATTTCATTGTCTCCTGTTTAATTATCAGTACATTACACTGTTAAAGGCATGACTGAAATCTAATAGAGCTAAAATGGTGATTTTTTATTATTTATACTTTTCTTACATCACAAAGTATGTTAACGAGTGCTGCCTGTGTGCTATGTTTGCTTCTATACCCAGATTGATATTATTCAGAACTCTTAGTTTTTGTAATAAGTCATTAATTCTTTTAATACAATTTTATCAAATATTTTCCCTAGAGTGTTTATTATGGTGGTTTGTGCTGTATACTGTCATGGTGAAGTATGTAGAATTTTGGCTTTTAGACTATTACGTATGTATAATATAACTCCACCTCCAATTTTAGCACATCTATCATTTCATAAGAGGCAGCAGTAGTAGAGAAAAAAGTGCTTGAAGGTAAATTTGGTGTTAGTAAGGTTTTCGTTAGTGCGATGATTCCATTATTTTATGTATTAAACGGCATCTTGAACTCATCCCAATGGGGAACCAGTCGCTTACATTAAGGTCTGCCACTTCCAAATGTTTTCCGCAATTTAAAGAGAATTAATCTACACTGTCAACATTCGTACGCTTATCTTTTAAAAAATCTGGGCATTGTTGATCTACCATCGAGTGTTCGATTTCAAGTATGATTCTTGAGTTTGTAGGTTTTTCATTAGGTTTAATGCAATTAATGCATTGGAAATCACTCTTTTCGGGTTCACAATTTGTAATGTCAAAATTCTGTTCTCGAATAATTTTTCTAATTTTTCATTAATCTCTGTAGGAATATTATAAATACTTAAACGTGGCATATACTTTTTATCGAAGGTGCGTTTTAAGGTGAAGGTAACAAGATTAATACAATATTTGGCCTGAATTCATGCCATCGTCGTTACATTTTGTCACACTTTCTACCGAGAGGTTAATTATGTAAATAAACGTCTTATATTAACCACCTGTAAGCTTTATTTTTAAGGAAACCCAATTTTCTAAACTTTTTCTAGCTCAATTATCGAGAACCCCCACCCAAAAACATTAAATGAAATATGTTCCAGGGGACGCCCAACATATTATTTTCCCATACAATTACATAATTAAGAACCTTTAGATAGGGCAAAGCAGATTAGCAAGAGATGGCAAAGAGTCAGCTGTGGAATGAGAAGGCCACCGTGCTGAAGGATCGTGAGAAAAAGCCGTTTCAGCTGTCCTTTCGGGGCCCCGTCCAACACGTTTGATCGACGTTAGATCAGGCTACGAGATAAATTAGAAAAAAAATAAATAAAACACCGTCCACTAATTTTCACACAGAAGTAATTAATTATTCAACAACGAAAGTGGTCAAGCAACAAATATAAAGTTTCGTTTTAGCACCTCGATGTATCCCTAAATATAAATTTTTAGTTGAATTTAAATTTATCGATTTTTTAACCCCTAAAATTTTTCCGATTTTTGAAAAGTCGTTATCGGAATATCTTATTGAAACGGCTATAATTCAGAAATGGCTAAAAAGATTTTATCGCCAAGCAGACCATTTGAAAGAAGAGAAACGTAGCTTTTTAAGTATGTACCATTAAAATATATACAATATTTTTATAAGAAAATACACCAAATAGCAAAATTATTTGCGAGTAATTAACCTCATTTTTTACATGGAAATAATAGTTCATTTTAATGTTTTTACAGTCATAAAATGTACTTGACAATTTCTTTAAAACGTAACGTAAACACCGAGGAAAATCAGACCACTAGCTTTTGAGAAAAATGATGTTAGAGCTTCCATTATGAATGTCAGTCACGCAGAAAGTCGTCGAAATTATCAGTCAATAAATCACTTTACATACACCGATTTACGCAAAAGTCAATATCAAGGGTTTTATAATTCTGGACTCACGACAATGAGATCAAATCCAAGTTTTGACCATTTTCTGACCTACTTTGCAGAATGTTTGTTAAAATATGGAAAAACGCAGCATTTTGTTGAGTTGTCTTTTTAAATCTACCAAATTAGAATACTCCGCGTCGTATTCGTAGAAATTTTTTTCTTTTATGTTAACCAACAATAAGAATTATAATTTTTACTATTACTTTAATTTACACAGTTAAATAAATAAATTCATTCAACCAGAATTTGGTCCCTTCTCTACATGGGCTTTGGGAACAGCTAATAAAGCAGAGCTGCTCCCCCCCCCCTTCTGCTCGCCAAAAAATAAGTACAAATATTACAAAAATGAAATGTTGAACATTTTAAAAGTTACCAAAAGAAAACGGACGAAATTTGACTGTTTACAAAAAGTAGGATGATAATTGTCAAAGTAGATTTCTGGAATGTGCACAAATGATGTCAAAACATTATTGCAACAACAATTCTCACTTCACTGCAGACTTCTGGCCGCCTATCGTACTTTCCTGGAAACTTGCAATCCACTCACATCGTTCTCCTAAGAAGAGCTAGGTCATTGACTGTCATTGCTACAATTCCTTTCCTTGGATTTACTTTTGGGTGTATCCATGTTAGAGTAGATGTTTTTCAGATGCCAGAACAGGTATTTAGTCCTATCACTTCTCTGAGTTTAACCCTCCTAACTGAACCAGTGAGTTTGCCTGTCTTGGTGAGGGTTGTTTTAGCGTAAGCTTACTGTGTCTAGCACCTCCAGGATTTAGCTACGTTTGCTTTTTGCTTTTTTTTTATCCATTTTGTGATCGAGAATTCTGTGTTTGTTTTCATTAGCCCAAGTTCAGAACCTTTCGTCACCAACAATTCCTTTGGGTCCTCGTCCCAAGATATCCTCAGGTTGTTGTGTTTCTCCAGGGTTGAGATTTTGACTGTATTCACTGATTAGTTTTGATGAGAATTTTTTACATGCAAATGCTTTAATAGCTCCTTGACTAATACGATCTTATAAGGCTTTTTTGACAGTGTAACCTCTTTTAAGATTTTCTAATGCACAAGCGTTGTATGTATTTCAGTTTGAAGAACCAAGTCTTGTTCCCTAAAAAGTTGAGTGATGCCGGACAAGAACAGAGAAAATAAAATGGGAACTTCGCCCTGTAACACCCCCTTTAAGTACCGGAATTCATTGGGAGGAATGCGACTCGCCATCTACGAACATAACATTACACACAAAACCGTAATGAACTGTCATAATTT